ATAGATAGATAGATAGATAGATAGATAGATAGATAGATAGATAGATAATAGATAGATAATCTCCTCCCACTGCACATACATAGCACAGAGCAATTATTTTTTTCCTTTTACATAAGAAAAATGTTTTCAATTTGATCAGGCTGGGATCAGGGTTGATGTGTGGGTGTTTGCATATAGCTGAGACAAGGAAACTGATACCATATAAACATTTTTAAATTTGAGTCCTAGAGTGACCAAAGGATGTTTAAATCATAATCCAGAATGCATATCATGCTGTTTCACTAAATTTAATTCTATGGTTTATACATATTTTCCTTATGGGTTAAAAATAATAGAAAACCAAAGAATGTACCTTTATTAAAAAAAAGAAAAACTAACATTGGAGGACATTCTAAAACAGGGGTGTCATACTCACATTGCCACGGTGTTGTCATGTGACATAAGACAACTTTCCCCCCCTTTGCTAAACTGGACATGGGCGTGGCCAGTGCATGACGCATCAGGCCATGAGTTTGACAGTCCTGTTCTAGAAGCTTAAAAGATGTACTGTGTTCAGATGCAATATATAATGATAGAATACACACACACATACACACACACACACAGAGTTCCAGAACAGGGATATCAAGCATGCAAATAGTGATAACATGCATCAAGTACAGATGGTTTGGGGAAAACAACCACACTCAAAAGTGCTTTTTGGTACCAATACAACTATTGCCCAAAAGCTTATGCCACACAAAATCTCTTAGTCTGGAACATGCCACAAGCAAAATGAGCACTGCATTTTAATATAGTGTAGTATGAACTGTGTAGACTAATATGAACTTAGACAATGTGGTTTGCTTATAGTTCAGTGTTCCAGACAACTTCAGACATTTGATGAACAGTTTAAACCAGGATTCAGTAACCATGGGTGAGTGTGTTGTACAAACACAGCAGGTCACTTTTTTTTTGCCTCACAACCTAAATAGGTGTGCCTAGCGCCACCTGGTGATTAAAGAAAAGCTTTGGAGAGCATTGTTTGTTTCCTATCCATGAATGCGCAAGAGCTGATCCATAGAACGATTATGCCAATACTGACCTGAATTATTCTCAAAACAATCTTACCTCTTGCAATTCATAACGGAAGCAATGTGCTTTAAAAAAGAAAAGAAAAAAAGGGGGGGGAAGATACTGCTAAAAATGTATAAGACTTCATCTAATCAACCACATGGTACTGAAAAAATGCCATTTTGGAAGAAACCACTACACGGTTGTGCCGGAATGGCAATGCACAACAGCTTTTCATTAGGGGGAATACTTTTGGTGGACAAGCCAGGACCAACCAAAGAAGCTGATGTATCATCACTTGGAGTTATTAATTTCTTCTATTATTTTTTTCCTCCCAGTACAAATAGTAATAGCACTTAGACATATATACCACCCCATAGCACTGCCTGGGTGATTTAAAATGTCAGCATATTGCCCCAACAATCTGGATCCTCATTTTACCTACCTTGCAAGGATGGAAGGTTGAGTCAACCTTGAGTCCCACCTGGATCAGATTCCAAGGGATGGGCAGATTTAGCAGCCTGCAGTATTGCATTTTAATCACTGCATCACCGGGGCTCAGTGTTCTTCCTTCTACCTGCTTCTACCTGCTTTAGTATTTTCTAGTTGGATGCATTCAGTCACCAGCCCTCGAAGAACCTGATACAAATACTGTAGCAAAGCACTGTAATTTGAGAATAGAGTAGAATAGAGTAGAGTAGAGTAGAGTAGAGTAGAGTAGAGTAGAGTGGAGTGGAGTGGAGTGGAGTGGAGTGGAGTGGAGTAGAGTAGAGTAGAGTAGAGTAGAGTAGAGTAGAGTAGAGTAGA